AAAAAAAGTAGATAGTCTAATACATCTTCACTTCAAGGTAAAAATTTTTGATTTTTTTCACAGTTTACTTAAAAAAATAAAGTTTTGAACTAATCTGAAGCTTAAAGAAACGCTTTTTAAACTACTTTTAAAAGTATTTGGCTCAGTAAAGAGTAGAGCAAGTTAAAAGATTCTAATTTATGTCATATCCAGCAATAAAGTAGGCTCTCTCGCTTTCTTTGGAAAATGTCAATTGCCAAAGAAAAGAGCTAATGTGCTTTTTAGTTTTGCATATTACAGTGCCAGATATCGAAGTTTTTAAAAAATTTGATGTATTAACTAGAAAAAAAAATTAATAATTCCACAAGAAGTGTTTAAATTATATTTCTCACGGTCAATGTTCCCCTCTTCTGGAAGCTCTTCTTTGTTATTATTAGCAATATTAAAAGAATTCGTCAAGTTACGTCGATTGCTCTTCAACTGTATTTTATTCAAGTGTCATACACACTAAGTTGGACAGACATCAACTCTGATTAGAAACTTTTTGCCGACATTTGCAACCAGTGATCGACAATGTTTTTTTGTTAAAAAAAGTGGAGTATTTCAAAAACATTTCTTTGAGGTTGGATTATTTGATTCAGAAAACAACAAGTTAAAATTTAAATAATAGTAATAGTGCCTTTATTGACATTCTTTTTGTTATGCAAAAAAATTGATACTTTAACGCCAGAGAGCTTTTACTACTATCACCTGGTGTTTGATCTTTACAGCAAAATACAATACATAAAAGCTGTGATGTGTTATGGTTTAGCAATTATGATGATGGTTAAGCTGTGCATCTGTTAATAAAATTGCTCCGGATGTCTAACCTGTGAAACAAAGTTTAATAAGACCGTTTCAAAAATCTTATGCACTTTGCGTTGGTTCTAAAAAATCAAATTCCTCTGACATTACAGTTCTAATTTTTAATATATTCATCTTTACTGCCTGCTACATACTTTCATCTTCCAATCAGCTTCTGGATTCCGGTCTTACAGAATGTCTGTAGTTTTAAGACAAAACAATTGTTGTCGTGCATTCGTAATTTTTCTTCTTGAGAAGCTCTGTTGCTGAACAATCAATTACTTTGAAATGTAAATAAATGATTATTTTGCGAGGCAAAGCGTCGGAAAAATAGGTCAGTTGCTAAAAAGACCTCTTCACTGAACCTTTTTATGTCTTCTTTTGTGCTGCTTATGATACATACAGTCTATCAATATCGTGTTACTGCATCATTCGAAAGTAAGAACACTTGCTTCTCATTTTTAATTTCTTTTTTAACCGTAACTAACTGTCTTTTGTGCGACAAGTCTAGAAGCAGAAATTCTTATTGCAGTTTTAGCTTCACATTGAAACTTTTTTTTGTCACCAACAGTTATATCGACGACTGAAAACTTACAGACGTTTGAACGGTTGAGATCCTCAATTGAGAACTCATAATATTACGTGGAAAAACTTTTCCTACTTACAATTATGCCAAAAATTTCAGAACATTCTGCGGACGACTTTTGAAAATAAAAGTTATCAGTTAAAAGTTTAAGCTGCAAAAGTGACGAATAAGTCAGGCGCTAAAGAACAAAGGCAATATTAAAGAAGAAATTTAACAAACATTTTATGCATCAAACTTTACAAAATTTTTAATAACAGTGCTTAAGCGTCTCGACTTACTCATATTTTACCCTGGAATAAAACAGTCTTACTTATGATCTACGAACAACAGTTTGTATTTTACACCTAAACAAATGCTTATCAATTTTCCAGACCATTAAAGTGTAAAAAAGAGTGGTAAACTCTTTTTTGCAATAACAATTTCTTAGAGAAATGATAACAGTGATCGTTATTTACTCTTTGTATTACAAATCAGATTAGTTACAAAGTATATGAAAAAAAAATAAAAAAAAGTACTTTTAAGACTGGTGAGCAAAAATTAAACTGTGGGGGTTATGCTATTTGTCAATTAATAATTATACTAGAAAACAAATAATGATGCAAAAATCTAAAAAGTGATATCTATGAATAATAAAACTAAAACTTTTATTCTGTTCAAAAAGAAAAAAAAATATTTTTTAAAAAGCAGAACAAAAATTATTTTAAACCGTTGATATGAGGAGAAATTTATTAACAGACAAATTACACATAAATGCTAGCTGCGGGATAAGGAGTATTTTTGCAACTTTTTAGTAAAGCTAAAGTTTCTGTAGTTTTTGCACTCTTCTGTTTTTTTCAGATTTTATGTACATTAGTTTCTTTTTGTTTTTATATTTAATTTTAATTTTAATGAAACTACTGCGTCGCTAAAGCAGGTTTCTGACAGGCTAAAGTACAAGTAACAGATATGTCAAATCTGTTCTCTTGTTCTCAGTTGTCACCTTTTATTTGTTGGAAAATTTTGTTTGCATAGCAAAAACACAGTTTCAACAACTACTAACAAAAGCATAGAGATGATGAAGGATGTAATAAAAATGTTCAATTTGTAGAAGTTATAAATCAAGCAAACTTAAAAAGTTATAATTTTTAACTTTAATTGAGGGTATTTTGATTTCGACATTTGTCAGTGGTAAGGTAATGTTAAATTGACAAAAATGCTTGCTGAACTTACATAATTTACAGTCTTCGCCATAAGAATGGTGCAGAATACCGCAGAACAAAGTTTTTGAACTTAATTGACTAAAAATTAGACTATACAAAAATAAATTTTCTTCTGAAAGCCTTATTGGCAAAAGCGGTCTACAAAGTAATTTTCCGTAATCGTTAACAAATAGTAGTTGTTTTGAAGTATCTGAAAGAACTTTACGAAAGCTTCTTGAAAATTTATACTTTTTCTGTTTTATGCAATATTTATTAAAACCTGCTTAAGCTTTTAGTTCGTTCAATAGTCACTTCAGATATATCATTAAAGACCAGGCTAAAAAATATTGAATAGCATCGAAAAAAAGACAAAACTAATATGTTTATAGATAAATAATGCGAAAAAAAAAAA